ACATTTTTTAAATCTTCACTGAAAAAAATACTAAATTTTAATAAATATTTGTTTGAATAACTCTAAGTAAGTATTTACTATAATAAATGTAAACATATATTTATTTAATACAAAAATCATTAATTGATTTAAGCATTATTTTTTTATTGAGTAAATATTTATTGTAAATAAATATTTACTTACGCTGAAAGAAAAGATTGGTTGTTGCAATTTAAATAGTAAAATATGGCATAGCATTTTTATATAGCTGCAGAAATCAATTTTTGGTTGTAGCAGCACATTTTTAATTATTTTACTGAAAGAAAAGATTAGTTGCTACAACAATTTAGATAGTAAAATATGGCATAACATTTTTATATGGCTGCAGCAACCAGTTTTTGGTTGTACCAGTTAATTTTTAGTTACGTTAGTCTATCGAAATCATATACTGACATTGCAGATAGGTTAACACAACTAAAAATTTGCTGCTACAACCAAAAACTGATTGCTGCAGCCATATAAAAATGCTACCATATTTTACTATCTAAATTGTTGCAGCAACCAATCTTTTTTTTCAGTGTACACACAATTAGTACTATTCAAAGAACTATGTATTAAGATTTGGTAAATTTTTTTCAGTATTGATTCGACGACTTCACGAGATGTATACTTAATACACTATCGATTTTTTGGCGTTGTTTTATTTGTCAAATGAAGATATAATCACATTTTAATGCAGATTTCGTAAACGTGATGATTTTAGAGCGTAATATTGCGACGAGAAAACACGACGTGCTGAAGGGAGGGGCGAAATGAAGACACTGATGAAACTAGAATTTCGACAGCTTGGAATAATGTGAGATAGGTTGTTTTCCCGCGGGAAACGATGCCTGCAACTTGAGCCCTGAATTTCAGGCGACGATCGAAACCCTAACTTGCCTCGCGGAAAATAGATCTCGGAATGTCGCATGCAGATAAGCACTCCAGGATATTACAATTCTCATTATCAAGAACGAAATTATGTTACTGTCCGCGAATAATAAGTATCCTACCAGACGATATTACAAGTTTTCTGCCGAGAAAAGAGGAAGCGGTGAAATTAGAAAAGAACATCGATATTTTAATATAATTGTTAAAAATAAAATAACCAATTATTTAAAATTTAAAAATATGCAAAATAAATCAAAGTGATAAATTCAAAATTCAGTCGTAAGTCCCGAATGACGCGCGACGTAGCATATGATATATTGCAAATGTAGAAACATCTTTTATACAGCCATCATAAAAAAAAGAATGAAGTTTTGTCAGTTCGACAATATCTCTGTCATCGCTCATGTATCGCATACGAATCGCAGAAATATCTACCACTTTTTACGGTGGTTACATAAAAAGCGGATTTTTTCCCCGCGTATGTCTGTATACATTGTATGCAATGTGCGTACTAATCCAAAGGAAATGAATACTGGAGACCGATATCCTGCTGCGTATTGATGAACACCCGCGGAATTCGTCGAGCCATGTAGAAATTCATTCCGTACTATGAATTTCTCTATTCACGAAGGCAGTCATTTTCCCCCTTGATGCGAAATTTTTCCCACCACGTTGCGAGAAAAGCAAACAGTTCCCGGAAGCCACGACGGAAATATGATTCCCGCGACGTCTCGTAAAAACGACTTGGCTTCATTTCGTTGGATTATGCAGTACCCCGCCTGATTTAATGCCAAGGCCAAGGGAAGGTACAGCATGGAAAAGTCGAGCCGGCGAAATAAAGAAGACGAATAAGGGAGGAGTAAAACAGAGGTGACGAGAAGATAAAAAGAGATATACAAAGCTATTTACGAAAAAAGAAAGAGAAAGAGAGGGAAAAGATAGAAGGAGAAAGGAAGGTAATCGACGGCAGACGGTGACTTCCGGAAGATTACACGAGCCGGAGGCTGCAGTTTACTCCATTTGGCAAGCTCGATATTCACCGAGCCGCCTTTTCAACCCGATTCCTCCCCCCCCTTCCCCCCACCCATCTTTCCTTTCCTTCTCTGACCGTCGACGAATGAAATATGCCCTCGCCTGAATTTCAAACGACGCTGCAAATCGAATCAGGCTCGCTATGAATCTTCCGACGAGGCCGAGGAGAACAAAACCTGATGAAGTTTTGAGAAGGCGATGGGTGTGTTTGCACATTCGAGAGACAAGGGTGATTTAAAAGGTCGGCGCGACCAACGAGGGCTAATCAACTCCGTTAAATAAATAATGTCTTGAAATATATAGGGGTATCTGAAGAGATAACGTGAAGTAATGTGTCCTACTCCGACAAAGATCTGTTTAAATAGAGAGAGAACAAGATTATTTTTAACATGCTCTCCATTCGCGAAATATCGAATGCGCATAAATACATTGGCTAAACCTATAACGTATAATTCATTTGCCGTTTAATGTCACCTTTAATTTCCCTAATGGTGAATCAATCAAAATATTAAGACATGGTTTTCAATCCAATTAATGGATGAGAACATAATGAAACGCATAATAGTTAATTAACTTGATGTGCGGATTTGCGCTATGTTCACATGTACGCTCGAAAGGAAACATTTCTCCGTATGTATGTGTATGTAAAAGCAACATGTATTGTTGCACATCTACACATAAAGTTAAACTTTCACGAGATAATTATTTCGGGCTTCCCGGCTATCTGGAATTTTGCAACCATTTTCCAATTACGTTCAAGATACCTTGTAAAATTAACATCATTATAGTCCGCATGGAATTGTATGCGATAACTCGATTTTATTGCAACCCTTCACTCGTAACAAATCGAGAATCAAAATTATATGTCGCAAAAATAATTATTGTCGCGAATAAACTTATAAGAAAAAATGTATTACTTTTTAAATTTTTTTTCTAAATTTTTTTCCATCAAATTTAGATATTATAAATATAACAATAAATAAACTTTTTTTAATTATTCGGACTTAACATATTAAGTCCATTTTTTCAAAATAATGTAACTAGTCATACAATCGTATTACATTCTATTCCTTAGTTAACATACGAGAAAATCACATTCGAAAAGAAATATAAAAAATAATATATCTACGCGTGAAATCGTTATCATAATTGTTTTCCTTTCTATATTCAATTAAAGATTATATAGATTTGATAAAGACAAGATCTAATAATATCTTATCTAATAACTTAGAATCATCAAAGTGCTGGCAAACTCTTGAGAACCAACTGGATTAGTTCCACGGCAAATTGGATGAAACCGTCCGATGGAAACGGAAGAGAGACGAGTAGAAGGAAACTGAGATGATACTATTTCCTACACGCATTATACAAACGATTCTCAGAAGCATGAGGAAGTTCGTGCGGACCAGACACTTTCAGATCTATCGCTCGCGTCTTGAAGGTCGGCGTATATAATTGCCGAAGTTAACCGATCAAACGATGATTAAGGAACGACGTGTCGTGAACGCAATCGTTGCTCGTAGATTAGATTCCAGTACCACTACTAGGAATGGCAAGGGGGATCGTTAGCGCTAATGACTCAGGAGCAAATAATTATCCGTTACGTCTTCTTGCGCACGTAATTTACGAGGAGACACCGCGTACCAACGATATGAAACTGCAATTATGTCATGATAAACCTCAATGTAAGCGTCGAGATAGCCGTCGCGCTATCTTATAAAACATTTGTAATATCGCGACTCGATTTGATCAGCTGCCGTTGTCAATTTCTTACACTTTCTTCCCAATAACAGTAAAATCTCTGCTGTGCAATGAATAATTCGTATCACGATAAATAAATCTGAACACGTTAATATATGACACTTCTGTACGTTTGCTGCATCATTATTATTAAGTATTGTAAGCTTTATAAATCGAGAACATTATTTAGGAACTTAAAAGTTCTAGCTGCACTTAACAGTTCTATAATTTTTAATAAATAGAGTAGTTTCGGTTATTAAAAAAACCTGTTTCGAAATTAAAATGCTAGATTCATGCAGCGTTTCAGTTTATCTTGCTTAGTATCGTAAGAAATTTATAATGCTATTCGAAAAAGATGCTGTGTTTTAAAAGCAAAGAAATTTTTAATATAATTGAATAGAAACAAGCAAACATTGTTAAAATATCAAAATGAAAAAGATGTAGATTTCATGTCGTTATCGTTAAATAGCATTTCTTGTGTTATTCTGTAGCTATTTGAGCATTGCAGTAGGAGTTGTAACAATAGATAATAATTAAATACTTCTTAAACAATCTATACCATCTGAGGAAGGCGAGTCTACGTGTACCAAAGTGAAACGCGCTTTTCAAGAATTCTGTTTATTCTAGAATAATTCTGTACTTATTTCTGCACACATTCTAGCAAGAATTTTAATAAACTTTTAATATTAATAAAATATTTCTCAAATTTAAATAAACTATTTTTGTTTATTTAAATTAACACGGTCAAGAATTATAGAATTATTAAAAATAAAATCAGACTTTTCTCAACAGTTTGAGAAAATGATTCCCTCGAAATGATACGCCAGCTTTGCGCTACATCGGTAATGTATACGGCAACTAATCAATTTGCAGAAATGCAGGGCACGCATTGCGGGAACTGTTAATCGTGTCATCTGTGTAATTAATGGGATAAATGCCTTCGATGAGATATTACCGTCCGCATTTAATCATATGCAAATACGCTCTATTTTCGAACCGAGAGAAAAATTTAAGCGACCACGTTAATATCAGTCAAACAATAATTGAAATTCTTGATATGAAATTCTCATCAAATTTATATTGTAAAAAAAAAACTTCAAGAAAATATCACGGTAAGCAACAGCTTTATACAGCAATTTTTTTTATATTAATACCGATATTAATTACTGACGATCAATTGAAATACTTTTATCGGACGAATAAAACGTGTAAATTAAAAGAGACGCAAACGCACGTGATTGCGATTCTTCTCTCGGTCGCGACTACTTACTAACAATCTCCTTGACTCGGCTACTTTTTGCTACCAACTTTCTACTTACGTGTCTCGTGTCGGCCGCGAGAAGAGGAGTGTGTGCCTGCAACAACCGAGCGTTCAGGGAATTAGAAGAGAGGTCGCGTGACTTTTTGCTCTTTTGCTAGCTTGGAACTTCATGCTTCCGGCAAGGCCATTCATCTCGCGTCGGATTCCAAAAAATGACCAAAATATCGCGGCATCGTTTTATTAGGAATATCATTTATGCAAACAAGTTCTATACAATCAAAGATGTGCACTCACAAGAGCGTATTTCTTGATGAATTTTAACAAATACATGATGAATTCTAATTATGAAATTATCTAACAAGGAGGATTACAAAATTTTCGCAGATTAAACTTCGCGGGCATGGATAAATCGTTATTATTCATTACGTGTAGCTGCTCTCACTTTAACTAGATTATAACCGAAGTTTAATCTACAGCTTTGCTAGTAAGCTATCAAGATATAAATGATTTCCAAATTCATCTCAGTATACGCTCGTGTAGTTGAAACTTTGCAAAACGCTTTATATTATTATATGAAATATATCCAAACTAATTTATTGATTATTAATATATTATTATTATATATAAATGAACGTGAACTTTTACAACTAATCCGCTTTTTCTTTTAAATAACAATCGAATTAAATAAAGTAAATAGAAATATATCGAAAGTGATAATGATTTTGCGTGTAGACGAAAATTTTTGGCCTTTTTGTTACGTTAGTTTAGTGAAGCTTAGGAATTTTAGAGAGGAAGTCTCTGGGAAAATGTGCTCGCATGCTGTACTACATGTGTATTCAAGAGAAGATCATTCATGCAAATTTAAATAAAAAAATAGAAAGGGGATATTTCTGGCCGGCAGCGACGTCGTTTTGTTGATTCGGCTAAATGGCTTAAGCTCGCATTTTAGATGCCTCTGCACAATGCAAATTCGCTCCTTTTGCATACCACGCGCTTATTAAACGCGGTGAGCTCATTAAAAGCGGAAGTTGACAATGGCGCGTGCGAGCATGAAATTCTCCGCTTCGCATAATTATCGCGCCCACGATAACTGAACTTCGCGATGCAATGTAACGACGAATTTCACCACGTCGCGTCGCCGTCACCGCGATAATGTCGTGGAATAAATGCAGGTGAGCTTTAAAACACACATTCAATGTCGGTTGTTAAAATATTACGGTCCACGTGATATTCGAGTCTAATATAAAAAAAAAAATATCGTACTCGATGTCACATTTTAACTTCGCGTGTACTTTCTTAAATGAAAATGCATGCACTGAGAGAAAAATGTTTGGTATTTGTAATTATAATTACATATTACTATAATTATGATTATTACTGCTATAATAATAATAACAGTAACTGTATGTTTAATATAATAGTTGGAATTATCATAAAAATGATTCAAGTGATTATAATTTTATATTTTGGGACAATTATAAAAAATATGGTTGTCCCAAAATATAACTATAAAAATAATAAATTATAGTCTCTTGAATCATTTTTATGGTAATTTTATGATTATAATAACTAGTCATTTTAGGTTGCCAAGTATATACATTTGTTGCTAAAATTATATACAATACATAGTTACTGTTATTATTATTATAGCAGTAATAATCATAATTATAATTATATAATTATAGTTACATATATTATACAAAACGTTTTTCTCTCAGTGTGCGGATAAAATCAATAGATTTGTTTTTTATTAAATTCATAAAAATAATTCTATTTCCGGTCAAAACGGATCTTACTGATCTTAGCTTAATAATATTAAATACAAATTTTTTTACAAATATATTATTTCAGTTTTATAAATTGTGCATAAAATTTATGGGATTTGAAACGCAATCGCAAATCAAAGCTGAAGGAATTAATACCTTAAATTAGATTGATCGTATTTATTTAGTAAAGCTAATAAGATCTTAAACTATAAATAATTTATTGTAAAAATATTATCTCATTGTTTTTATCACCTACAGCATTTGAACTTTCTTTCTTTTTTCACAAAATTTCAAACATGTATTATTTTAAATAAAAACTATTTTACTTTAAGTACAAAAAGTGCACACTAGTTCAATTATAAAAAAACAGACGTAATGTTACTTCGATAGATTAAAATATGTCCGATGTGCTCTGTTATAGACAAACAAAAAAAAGGAAGACAAAAAAAGGTTGAAAAAAGAAAACAGGCGTGGATGTAATTTTCATTCGATTAAATTCAAGCAGAGAAAGACATGCCGTCGTCGTTTTCCCAACACAATTCCGAGTGCCTGTACGAGACTACCTGATCATTTTCACGTACACAAAGTCCCATGATACTTGTGATGAATAATCTGTGCTACAAATTTGATGAATCTCTACAGGGTTTATGATGGAAAAGAAAATGCGAGGCGTGTCAATGCAGAAAAAATGCAACGGAAAAATATATTTTTTTTTCTTATTATCCAATGAATATGTAAACTCTAGGCAAGATTTCAAGTGTCAGCAATAAATTAAATATCGACACTTGTAATTTTATGTCGTTACTTCGTCATAAAATGTATTGCTGCACGATTACACGCAGGTTATAATCGACATGTAAAGGACGTGACGGTATACTTTTGATTAGTAAATCGATAAAATAAATTAAAAAACAGAAAACTGGTTTGTTCTCCATGAAATCGAGTTATTACATTCAATGCTACGAGTTAATTTACATTCTAGTCGCACGTTCTATCGCAAGTAAACTACGCAATTTAATAGAATCATGTTCGTGTTAAAAATATATCTTAGAGGAATCAATCGAGAAAATTGAATAAGAAAAAATAATGACTTATTAAAAATGTTATTAAAAGTGTAACCAGAGAAACGGAAAAACATCACATCACTCTTCCTGATTGCATTACATAATCCATTAACTTAAGTATAGATTCCGGGCTTTTCCGAGAGAAAGACATCAGGATTATTGATCGACATAGTCGTTATCGTTAACGACGCGCTGTCTTTCCCGAAATTCTTACCAATAAAATGGCAACCCTTAATTTTCCAGGGAAATGGGGCCGCGTGTACGGCCAAATTGAATTTCATATTTCGCTGCGCATGGTGAGTCGGATTTCCGGTCGCTGCTCCGACGTCCCCTCGTAATTAATTGCTATTCAAGCCTACCTCACTCCAGTATACGATACGATAAAAAAAAAAGTTTGCCTTGTCGCGAGTGAAATCAGCGTCCTAATTTCCCTTTCTTGCCATCATGCTCTCAACATGATACGATTATACCCTCGCTCTGTTTTCGTGTGGAATCGAAAGGAGAAGCACGTTAATGAAGATAGATCGTCGCGATTAGCTCAATCCCCGAAAGCTTTTTCTCGATGAATAAACAATGCGATCGTGCAATCGTTTTAATTTATTCCAGCAAGTATTTCTGCAGGAGAATTAATAACAAGTTCATTAAATTCTAAACACGATGGCATAGATGGATTATAATATATAATTAAGGGAGCTTATTTCTATTTGCTCGTACAATATCTATGTTTCATGAAACTAACCAGGAAATGTGTTGACACATCAATTTAATTACCTGACGTAATATTTTTTATATACAATACCGTTCCGTCTATTGTTTTTAACTAAAGCTTGAGCTCGACATCATAAAACATTTCCGTACCGCGAGATAGCAAACTTTGTTCGCAAGAAAAGAAAGAAAACAAAGAAGGGACATGCTGAAATAAAACGCAGCGTCCTTTCTTTTATCATGGAACGACGAAAAAGAAAGTTTGATTTCTCCCGCTGTTTCTTCGTTTTGTTTTATATACAGCGGTGCTATCGTATTCCGGGGCTGTAGCATCGGGCCTTTTTTTTCGTGGAAAAATCGGGGAAAATTGAATTTCCGACGGCGTGTAAAGAGAGATCGAGAGCGCAGTGATACACGCACGAGGGAAACAGGCGCGGGAAGACAAAGTGACAAGCGGCCAGAGATGCATCGATTGCAGGAAATGCTCGTGGACGTATTACATTGTGATTTCCGACGATGTGATATCGATCGCGATATTCTGTACGCGTTCCTGAAACACATTTGCTTGCGTGCGCATCCGCGTCCCCTTTATCGCCCCGAATTTTCCGTTGCAGGTGATATTGCCCATAAATCCATCCTTCGTGAGTTGGTCCGATACATACAAACGTGGGAGAATCTTTTTTTTAATATATCGAGGCAACATTTCATTTCTCTTTTTCTTCTTTTTTTTTTGGCAAATCAACGTGAATTGCCTTTTCTCGCGCACGAAAAAGTTTCGAAATTTCGAAGTTTGTCGTTAAATTCAGTATTCCCACGATTGTGGAGTGTGCACGGCAAATAAAATCTGCCAAACATAAAAGAAATGTATATAAAAACCAGAAAAAAAATCCGTCATCTGCGGAAAGAGGACGGTGAGAATTGGAAAACCGAAAGAAAAATTCTCCCGCCATAGCGGATAAGTTTACGGCTGAATTTCGCGTTGACGAGACTCTTAGGGGAAAAATTCGCAGGACAGCGAATTTAAAAAAACAAAAATTAATGTGTATCGCTGCGCTGTCAGTTCTATTGTCGATCGAGGATTTTCGAAGATGTCAAAAGTGCAGCATGTGCGACGATGCTGCTAATGCATCTCGGGGCACATGCGATGGTCGTCGACAAGGGTACGTACTTTGCTTAGGTAAAGAGAATCGCCGGGATTCGGTTACACATTTACACATTTATGGAATATCGATTTTCGTTGGGCGAACCGCGCCGACGGGGAAATTATTCATATATTCGTCGTCGGTGAGACATACCCAAGGGTTGTCCGCGTCAAAGCCACACGAGATTGTACCGCTGCCAGGCAGATCGATCCACACGGACAACAAGCAAGAGAGGCAAAAGGAGCAAATTGAAAATAACCTCTCTTGTTGTCGGGCAAATTTTTAACTTTAGTACAGGCCGGTGCGCGAGACACACGGCGGAAGTTCGCGCGACGTTGAAGTTCGCGCGCAAAGTTGCGAGGGCGAGTCCTTCGCCGGCGAAGTTTTCCGGACGTGAAAAGATTAAAGAGGATATTA